ATGTGTACCTCAGCCATACATTATGTGTAGGAGTCACACAATACAGACTGTATGTGAATTTTGAATCAGCCCACATTGTTTTAGAGACAATGAAATTCATACTAATTCCACAATGTGAATTGTAAAAGCATAATACTGAAGATGATGTACTGTGTACTTCTTCATGTTGATCAAGATCATTGTATGTACATGTACATGTTTAATAGTCAGTGTAACAGTGTAACAATAACATTCATACTAATTCCACAATGTACATTTTTAAAAGCATGTAATGAAGTTTATGTGTACAGCAAAGACATTACTGTAGTTCTTCTTCATATTGACCAAAATAGATCATTGTGTACATGTACATGTGAGTCAGTGTAACAGTGCACAATATACGCTCCAAGCTACATGGAACAGCTCTTGTTTGGGAGGATTACTCATACCCTAGGCAGCTCTGAACTAAAGTCAGGACTCAACACAACCCTGTAAGGGAGCTACATAGAGTCTACATACGGTCACACAATGAACCAGTCCTAGACCAGTCAACGAGATTTGTAAGGCAATGCCATGCTCCGTTAGTCACGCACGAGAACCAGTACACTGACTCACTTCTCATTGGCCCGTGTTGATGAATTGGTGCACAGAACTTTATGGAAGTTCAGTGCAGTGCTCTTTATCTCAGATTGACTGTGCGTCAAAAGAGGGAGCCCTTTCCCTTACTGAACTCAGAGCTTTACCATTTCAAAGTAAAATGTTTTGGAGTTCTGCCAAAACTTTTTTTCCACAGCCACCATTGCAATACTAGTATGTGTACATGCATGAGTATAATACGTTTAAATTTTTTTCTTCACCCTCTTTCTTTCTCTCTCTCTCTCTTGAAAACATTGAATTGTGGTGATTTTCCTTACAGAGTTAAAGGCTTTCTATTCACCCTCTATCTCATTTATGAATGTAAATACTAGCCTAGAAAATACCAAAAGGTGCCACCTTGACAGCCTTAAACATTTGAGTCATTGGAAACAAAAACAAAAGGATTTTATGATTCTGAAGAAATTATACGCTTCTTCTAGTTTCATCTCACAATACCATTCACCTATTTATTCCCCATTTTGAAATTGGTATCCCATTATATAATCCACAGTATAGTACTGATATGATGCATAGTAAAACCCAATGCTTATTGTTTTATTTTTTGTAATTTTTTTACAATTTTTTTCTTTCTAATGCTAACATCGACCTCTTAGCGTAAATATTCACAACTGAATGATACACGGCTAAAATCTAAAACAACAGCAACAACTCTGTTATTGACATCAGAGTTACGGTACTTTAAGATACTTTAAGATAGTCATAGGAATGTTCAACTTATTAGCTCCAATTTACAGTGTTCTTCCAAAGAATTAAGTTTGCTTCTGATTGTTTTCTTGTCTGCACAGAATGGGGCATTCAATTTTTGAAATATCAGTTTTCATGACATCCAACTATCCAAGACATCTGTGAGAAACCTAGACTTGTACACAGGCATTCATGTATGTACATGTATGGCCGAAATAATAATAATAATAATAGTGGGTTCTTGTATAGCGCTCATGTCTGTCAGACGGCGCTCTAGCCTTTCAAGGAATTAATTCCTGCCAGGTACCCATTTAAATGTACATCACCTGGGTTGAGTGTGGCAAATGTAGATCAATGTCTTGCCAAAGGACATTAGTGCCCCTTTCAAAATTATAATGATCTGTATAAACTGTGAGTTGATCTAGTGGTCAAATGGTAACCTCTGGTTCATCTTATGTAAGCAATGACCAAGGGGATGACAAGGACGAGTTACATCATTTAAAGGAAATCAAGTAAGTGTGTAGCGGTGGTTATTTTACCTGACTGCTAAGAAAGCATAAATGCTTGTTAGTAAGCAACCAGACGGCTTCATGTCGTCTTCGAGAGACCTGGTAATGAGGATTAATGCCTTACCAAAGGGCACTAGCGCATCGCCTTGGTTTTGAACCCGGGTCACTGGATTATGAAACCACTGCTCTACCAACTGAGCCTCCTTATGGCTCTACACTAACAAGTGCATGGAAGAGATAGGAGCCCAAACCCCAAGTCCGGCCACCATTTATGTCTCAATTTTAACACAGGGTATATGCAATTATGCATACAGAGTTACATACTGTAACAAGTTCATTCGGGATTCCTTTCCAAAATGTAAGTGAGGCCTCTGTATTCTGATTGAAAAAAATCAACGAAGAGAGAAAAAGAAGAGAATTTAGGCGCAACCTTTTTTGTTTTGAAGGTGACCAACCAAAATGAACTACATGTACATGGTAAATGTTATTACATGTGTACTGTTGTGTGGCTTGTTATCTTTCAACTTTTAAAAGATCTACTTTTTTCACACAGTAGGATATTAATATTTGGACATTTGTATGAGGGTCTGGTGGTTTGTTAGCCAGATACATTTTTTTCTTCTTCAACCCACTCTAAAGGTATTTGTAAGCCTTCTAAGGCTAAACACATGGATTGCAACTGCCTGTTCCACTGTCATCTAGAATGACAGGCCTACACTGTACATGTAAATTCTAATACTCGAGTCAGTTGGGCGATCTACTTTTTCTACACTATACTACAATGTAACTTCTACATAATGTAAATATAATGTAATGCTCTTAACCATAAGAGAAATAAATTATTTGAGCATTTTCAATCAATAAGCAAAAATTCCAATTCAAGATTCCATTTACAGGAACTAACAGTCACACATCATCCAAGGAGTTAAATTAACCAAACATACATTGTAGATAGATTCCGGCACTTTTCATCCATTACAATAAAAGTACAATTAAAACCTGTCTATAATGACCATCTAAATGAACAAACGCATACGAAATACAAGGAGACTGGAACAATCTCCCGCCAGGCGTTAAAAACCTGAACTCTACACAAACCTTTAAAGGGACTATGTCCCATTTGCAAGCCAAAAAAAATGAAAAAGTTAAATTCCAACTGCATTTGAAAGATAATACTAATTTAGAACTTCCGTAAAAAAGATGGGGCTTGAAAATTTCTTCAAGTGGGAAAATAACGACTATTAGTTGTCAAATCGACTTTAGGGCTATAGCGCAAAGATTCAATCAGTTTAATCTTGGCCATCACAAGAAGTGGGTTATTGATGTAGACAAATAATAATAATAATAATAATTACAGTGCTTATATAGCGCCTAACACTTACTTTGTCAGAAGTCTCTAAGCGCTCTACAATAATGCAGCATAATTACCCTGGCTTTAGCAGTGCAGCTGTTACGCGCGCTGCGTTTCAAGGAATAAATTCCTACCAGGTACCCTTTACAACTCTTTTCATGTATGTTATTACCAAAGAAGAAAAAAGCCAGTCAGTCACTCAATAGTGTCTGACAGTGAAGTCTAGCAAGTAAACGGTTTTCCTTGCATAATTTGAATATGAGGACACTGCTAACGTTTAAATTTCACAGATAGGACACATACATGTACATGACATATTCATAATTCCTGCAAAGTTCTACAGCATTTGAGGTTGGCTGCAAAAGGGACATAGTACCTTTAAACTATACCTCCAAAAGAGCAATGCATCAATTTAAAATGCACATTGCAAGGAAGCAACACCATCTCTACTCTCTAGACATTAGTGCTTCTAAGCGATGTCTGGATACCATTTTGAGATTCTGAGATTAATGAGGGAAACAGTAGCTACTTTAAATAGATGACCTAAATAGACAGATTCTGTAAAATAGTCTATATTTTTTTCGCAACCTTCACACAACCCGTAAAAATCTACCTAACGACCTATAGTACTTGGTACTTGGTTGTTGTTCCTCCAAAAGATTCCTGGTGGAATTTAAACTGGAGGTCGTGGTGGCAGAGAGTGGACTTATTTCGGAAGGAGTGCTACTTTAAACTTTGCTGAGTCAGTCAGGGATACTAAGGTCGGATTGAGATTATTCCATGCTTCGGTTGTGCGAGGAAAAAATGAGTTCTTGTATACATCCAATCTGGCTAATGGTATTTCAAACTGACTTGAGTGCCCGTGGCTATAGATAGCCATTTATGTAACTTCGGCAGACTCACAGTGCCGACGATCTCCGACCTGAGCGGAGGAAGGAATAGGATACAAGAGAGATGGACATACATGTACAAACTACAACAGGCCTAGTGGCCATTTATAGAGATGTTGCAATGATGACATTCTTTGACTTTTCTGACATGTACAAATTACAATTTGTCTGTTTTAAGCCAGAAGGGCATCAACTCATAAACTTTAACAAAGAGTTATTGCCCTACTTGAGGACTGGCTCTGCCTCTGAGAATGGATGACAACTGCAACTGAACAGACAAAATAATCAAGGATTATGTCGTGATCATCATTCTCCATCTGTTCATTCAATGAGTTCAAACTAGAATAGAAAGAAATACTTTATTAAATGTAGAGATAAAAACTGGTATCTTCAGGAAAAGATACCAGCTGAGCCATATTCTTCACTGTGTTAATTTGAACCCAAACTAGCTAACGCACATTTCAATGGTGTATTGATCAATCAGCTGTGAGCTGGCCAACCCTTCACCCCAGCCTTCAAACAGTGCACAATCATACTACAATGGCTGCGAACGCTCAAAACTATAACAAAGTCAACAAGACCCGCCGATTGCGGGCTGCTCTACACAAAAACTAGGACGAAGTTATCGATGACAGTTATCATGAGATTGATTAGATCTAAATGTTGAATAAAGTGGACATAGGTTATGAAGAAGTGAAAAGACAGGAAGCCAACATATGGTCAATTATTTATAAAAATGAATAGAAAAGCTTTATTTTTCATTAGAAAGAGGGACGCCGCGTCGAACTAAAAGTGGCCCAAAACAAAATGATCCACGGTGATACACTGCAGTGTGTCAATTCCGCACCGATAATAACGGGGGCATACGGCGACCGGCTTGCACCGGAATACGTGCACGACGGCACAAACAAGTTACACAAAAATACTTACCACAACTTGGGGTTGATTTCGCCCCATTTCGCTATTTGAACAGTTCCCGTTAGGTTCAGATTTTACTTTAGACTGTCCACTCTCTTGTGCTTTCACATTCCTCGGAGTTCTCTTGTTTCTGTTTTCAATAATTCGTCGATGAAACTCTTGTGTATCTTGCCTTTCTTGTTCTCTCCTTTGAGGAGTGGAAGAATCAAAAATTCGAAGAGATTGCGCTTTTCCTTTCCGAACTTTCTCAATTCTCTCTCGCAATCGGACGACTACCTGTTGTTTTCTGGGGGACAGGTAATCCCCCATAGTCTCCCGTAGAACCACTATGGTGACGAATAAGCCCTAATAACTGCCCCGAAATTTGGGGAAGCTCTAGTTCAATTACGATTTGCAGTTCGTCGACAAGAGTCTCGGAAATTGGTAGCGAGTCAGCGGTACGGTATACGGTGCACTATACTATCGAGTCAATACAAATAACTCCACAGTACAGTCGATCGAGTACGAGTCTAGTCGAGTCGCATATCACGCACGCTATACACACCACAACCGTGCTAGCTATCACGATCACGGGCACACACGGGGTTACCGTACCGCTACATACATGGGACATCCACGGCCAACACTTGGTCGAAGAGCATAGCAGAGGCGACACAGTTGCCAATTTGAAGGTCATTTACAAACTTGAAAGATTGTAGAGGTTTCCGTTATATTTTTCTTCAACGACATAGCTCGATTGATTGTTCATCGTTTCAGATTCACAAATAATCAAAATAACACAATCCATTTAAAAAATATTTGTTGAACTGCAAATAATAACTGCAATACACATTCTTACATCTCGAATGAAGCCGTGAGCATGCAGGCCCTGTATTTGTGTGCGTGTGTGTATCGGAGGGGGGGGGGGGGGGGTGTAGCCGTGTAGGTTGGTCTAATACAGATTTCGCCTAAATTTGCAGATTTTATTCTTGCTTACAGCATGATAGTTCTGCTATGTCCTGGACCAGGCGCGGATCTAGGGGGCCGAACGGGCGCCTTGCCTCCCCCTCCCCCTATTAAACCCAAAAGAGAGAGAAGGAAGGGAAGGGAAAGGGAAAGAAAAAGGAAGACAAAAAGAAGTGAGGAAGGGGAGATCAGATGCGATTTTTTTTCTCCCCAACAAGGTGTAAATCGAGGGGATGCACTGAGGAGGTGGGATGCCCCGGCCCCCCCCCCCCATAAAATTCAACCGTGGTTTATTTCGATACCGGCGATTTACAAAGTGTTGCTGAAATGACATAATTTTCCGAGATTTTACCTCACTTTTTAGTTAATTATACTTTTTTATGCGTTTCTTGGAAAATGACAAATTCCTATAATTACTGTCAGGCGAGAAATGTGCTTATGTGCAGGCGCGGATCCAGGGGGGGGGCCGAGCGGGCCTTGGCCCCCCCCCCCCCCCCCCCCCCCCCCCGCAAAAAAAAAAAAAAAAAAAAAAAAAGAGAAAAAAGGAAAAGAAGCGAAAGGGAAAGAGGAGAGAAAGGGAAAGAAAGAAGAGGAAGAAGAAAAGAAAAGGGGGAAGAAGGAGATCGGGGGGGGGGGGGTCGAAAGGGCTTTGCCTCCCAGGCTGTTGACCCCCCCCCCCCCCCCCATAAAACAAATAAGAGAGAAGGAAGGAAAGGGAAAGGAAAAGAGGAGATACTGGCGTACTGATAGGGAGGGGGGGGGGGGTAGTGGAAATCAAATTCAAATGTGGTTTATTTCTAATTCCACAACGGTGGATTACAAATAATGCTGAAATTACATCATTTCCTCACTTTTTCCTCACTTTTTAGTAAATTATACGTTTGTATGTGTTTGTTGGAAAATGACCAATTCCTAAATTTGCAGCCAGGCAAGAAATATGATTCTTGAGATTCCTACATGTCAGGGCCCGAGGTACGGTGGGGATCGGGAGCCTCGAGCTCTCCCCCCCCCCACACTTTGTTTGAAAAAGTATATTAAAGAGAAATAAAATAGAATGAGAGCAAGAAAGAAAGAATAGTTAACTGCCAGTGTTAACAAATAATGAGGCATCAAAATATGCTCATCTGACCGTGATTAAATGCCTAAAACCCCTAAGCTTCCGTGGGCTCTGCCCCCTGGATCCCACCAAGGGCCCTACGGCGGGCCCTTAGATGCTCATCTGACGGTAATTTAATTCCTAAAGCCCCTGATTTTGGGGGGCTCCGCCCCCTGGACCCAACACCAAATAGTTACCTGCTTGTGTCACGAAATAATAAGGTATACAAAAAAAAAATATGCTCATATGACCTTAATTATACGCCTAAAACCTCTGAGCTTCCGGGGCCGGCTTCGCCGCCGCCCCAGACAAGGATTAACAATCGAGAACGGTACAGCGAATCGTCTTTTTTCTCTCATAATCTTATGAAACGTGAAGCTTTCGCGCTTTGCGCGGGAGGGGAACCTAAATTCAGACAAGGATTCAGAGGCGAGAACGGTTATACCAATCTTTTATGATTTAATAAAACGTAAAGCTTCCGCGCTTCGCGCGGAATGGAGGGGGGGGGGACTTAATTCCGACGAGGATTATTTTCGAGAGCGGTACAACGAATCGTCTTCTTTCTCTAATGATTTAATGAAAATTAAAAGCTTCCGCGCTTCGCGCGGGAGGGTGGAACCTGAATTCAGACGAGGATTAAGAGTCGAGAACTGAACAGCAAATCGTCTTTTTTCTCTCATAATCTTATGAAACTTTAAAGCTTGAGCGCTTCGCGCGGGAGGGGGGGGGGGGAGGGGACCTGAATTCAGACGAGGATTAAGAGTCGAGAACGGTACAACGAATCGCCTTCTTTCTTCAATAGTTAAATGAAACGTCAAAGCTTCCGCGAATCGCGCAGGAGGGGGAGGGGGTAAACTAAATTCAGACGAGGATTGAAAGTCGAGAACTGTACAACGAATCGTCTTGTTTCTCTAATGATTTAATGAAACATAAAAGCTTCCGCGCTTCGCGCGGGAGGGGGGGGAGAATCGAAATTCAGACGAGGATTAAGAGTCGAGAACTGTTCAGCCAATCGTCTTCTTTCTCTCATAATCTTATGAAACTTAAAAGCTTCCGCGCTTCGCGCGAGAGGGGGGGGGGGGACCTGAATTCAGACGAGGATTAAAGGGATCGTTTAACAATGTTAAATCTGAGATACACGGTCCTACATGTTATCAGTGTCTGTGATATGGTGTAACATTGAAGCCCTAAAAAAATCGCGCTTCAAAATGATCAAGAAGTGCCTCAAAAAAGTAAAAATCTTTGAGTGACCGGTTATACCATACTCGTTTTCCCCAATAGACTGTAGTGTTATGAAAACCGTCAGGCGAACGGTTTTCAAAATTTGTAATTCCAATCATAAATATCTTGATAATCAGACAGGCGATCGGCTTGTAAAAGTCATGGGGTTCCTGACTGACCTAAAGGTTTATAATTATCATTGCATTATGAGCTAAATCCAGAATTTTATTTCAGAATCTGAGACAAAGTTACCGGATCCCTTTAAGAGTCGAGAACTGTACAGCGAATCGTCTTCTTTCTCTAATAATTTAATGAAACGTAAAAGCTTCCGCGCTTCGCGCGGAGGGGGGGGGGGGAGGGAACTGAATTCAGATGAGGATTAAGATTCGAGAACGGTACAACGAATCGTTTTTTTTCTCTAATGATTTAAGGAAACTTAAAAGGGGGGGAACCTGAATTCAGACGAGAATTTAGAGTCGAGAACTCTACAACGAATCGTCTTCTTTCTCTAATAATTTAATAAATCCTAAAATTTCCGCGCGTCGCGCGAGAGGGGAAAACTAAATTCAGACGAGAATTATTTTCGAAAACTGTACAACGAATCGTTTTCTTTCTCTAATAATTTAATAAATCCTAAAATTTTCCGCGCGTCTCGCGAGAGGGGAAAAACTAAATTCAGACGAGAATTATTTCGAAAACTGTACAACGAATCGTTTCTTTCTCTAATAATTTAATAAATCCTAAAATTTTCCGCGCGTCGCGCGAGAGGGGAAAAACTAAATTCAGACGAGAATTATTTTCGAGAACTGTACAACGAATCGTTTTGTTTCTCTAATGATTTAATGAAACGTAAAAGCTTCGCGCTTCGCGCGGGAGGGGGGGGGGGGGAGAATTTAAATTCAGACGAGGATTATTTTCGAAAACGGTACAACGAACCGTTTTGTTTCTCTAATGATTTAAGGAAACTTAAAAGCTTCCGCGCTTCGCGCGATAGGGGGGGAACATGAATTCAGACGAGAATTTAGAGTTGAGAACTCTACAACGAATCGTTTTCTTTCTCTAATAATTTAATAAATCCTAAAATTTTCCGCGCTTCGCGCGCGAGAGGGCAAAAACTAAATTCAGACGAGATTTATTTTCGAGAACGGTACAACGAACCGTCTTCTTTTTCTAATAATTAAATGAAACGTCAAAGCTTCCGCGTTTCGCGGAGGAGGGAGGGGGAAATTCGCCCCTCCCTGCACCCGACCCCCCCCCCCCCCCGCATCACGTCACTGTTGGTCACCATTACGTACCAATATTTGGCTCGCATATTTTCAAATTTGGGCCCCCCCCCCCCTAAGAAATCCTGGATCCGCGCCTGCTTATGTGAAGGCTTACATGTCAGGGCCCGCGGAACGGCGGGCTCGGGGGCCTCGAGCTTCCCCTCCCACTTTTTTCGAAAAAGTGTAAGAAATAGAAAGAAAGAGAGAAAAAAAAAGAAAAGTGACCTGCCAGTGTCACAAAATATCGAGGTATTAAAATATGCTCATGCATCTGACCGTGATTAGCCTAAATACCGAAAACCCCTGAGCTTCCGAGGGCTCAGGGATCTACCCCCTACTCCCCCTTGATTCCACCTAGGGCCCTAAGGCGGGCTCCTTGATGCTCGTGTGACGGTAATTTAATGCATAGAACCTCTGAGCTTCTGGGGGCTCCGCCCCTGGACCCCACGCCAATTAGTGTCCTGCCAGTGTCCTGCCAGTGATTACAACGGCATTTGAAAGAAAATACTTAATTTAGAACTTCCCTCAAAACGAAAGGGCCTGAAAATGTCTTTTGTGTGGGGAAAATAACGACCGTTAGTTGTCGAACCGTCTTGAGGGATTGCAGCCCTTTTATTAAGTAAACTGATTTTCAGACCCTTGTACCGAATGGTCGTACGTTTTCTGCTGCGCAAAGATTCAATCAGTTTAATTTGATCATTAAAAGAAGTGGGTTATTGATGTAGACAAATGCTCATGTACCTGTTACATCTCATTTTATGTACGTTAGAAAAAAAAATGTCAGCCAGTCACTCAATAGTATCTGACAGTGAAGTCTAGTCAAAATAAACGGGTTTCCTTGCATAATTTGAATACGTTTAAATTTCACAGATAGTACTATCGGCCTACGTGACATATTCATAATTCCTGCAAAGTTCTATACCGAATCATGTTATTTTTTCAATACAGATCGATCAATCGATCTGATGTACTGGGTGTAAGCC